CGCAAGCTTGTAAGCAGCGTGTGCGTGCTCCCAAAACCCGATATGGTCCTCTGCTCCCGCCATATCTGCCCCTCCCACTGACCGTACTAATCACACCACCCTCTATTAACCCCCCAGTCTCCTCCCTCACCGTTCCGCGCCCCCCAGACTGGACTGGCCTTGGCCTCAGAGAGGGCTCCCCCAAGTCCCCTCGGGCCAATCCCGAACCCCCTAAAAACCCCGAACCCCTTAAAAATTTACTAAAACACCCTTTAAAAAGACTCTCAGTTTCAACTTCTTTTGATCTCTTTTTGCTGCGTAATATAACTATGATGGCATGACAATGACAATACTGATTTTACACAAATGTAGTAACCCTGTTTCAGATAGCTCAAATCTAATAGGATTCTAATAACATTTCAAACTGCTGTGTGGGATTAATAGAATTGTACGTCACAGCCTTGTAAATTATAATACCTCTTAAAGCCAGAATGTCTGTCTGCTGTGATGTACATTATATTGGGACCCTGTTTAACAGTTTCAACCCCACAGTTAAAATTTGAATTGCAAATGCATACCTTGGTTATTTTAAAAAGGGATTCTTGGACATTTACTACCCTGCTAGGACATAAGACATTTTCTCTCTATAAATCTCTTTTTGGTTTAATTCCAAATTGGTCCAGAAAAGGAGACTTACCTTTCACAGTTGATGCTGTCACATAGAATTAAACAATAAAGTTGCAGAAACTGGGAGGCAGTTGTTGCTTTTACTTTCCCATGTAGCTTCTCTAAAAGAATTTCCTCCATTCTCATTAGGTCACTAACAGTAAACCGATACTGACTTATTCGGATTAAGTCCGTAGCTAATGGAATATTACTCTCTTCTTCCATGACTTTCACCGCCAAGTAAAAGCAACTTAAGCCAATACAGCCCAAATGTTTTGGCTGAACCTAGAAGAGAGAAAAAAAAAAAGATTTTTCAGTTGAAGCCTACAGTGTACTTGGTTTACATACATACTGCAAACCTACAAAGTAAATATTATGTAACTCAATAGGACTTTTGACCCAAAAATGTTAACTGTGGGCTTATAGCAACCTTTTTTTTTACATAAAATAAAAAGCAATAATTCCTTAATCTATTTTCTTCTATGCTATCTTTTAAACTTTTAGTGTGTTTATATTTAAGAAAATAGGAATTCCCAGTGTGGAACCACTTTGGTTAATGTTGTCTATTGTTCAGAAAAGTAAGCTTTCATGCCTTGCTGTTCAACATCAATCAAGCACCTATTCATTGTATATTATCCCTCAAAACAATTCAGTTCAGTATACAGGCCAGAAAGGCACCCACACATTTAGAATAGTACTTTCTAAAACATGTTATTAGAGGGATGCACTTGTTTGGAACTTCTTTCATCTTTACTTCATTGAAGAATCCATAACTTTTAAAGACCACATCGATCCAAGCTTCTATGTATGTGTCTCCAAAACATGTACAGAAGCTTGAAGCAATGCATTTTGCATAAGACAACAGAAAGGTCTTTTAGGTCAATCTTCTGTAATGAACTACAGATTCCAGGAACCACAGATTAATGAGAATTATGGGAATTGCAGTCAAACAATCTAGCACCGGGCTAGGAAATGATGATCTGCATTCACCAAAAGAAATAAAACAACTTCTGGTACTGTTAATAAGATTGACAAGGAAAGGGTTTAAATAATCATAGTAGGTTTTCCCTGTCTGTCATTATTAAATATCCCAAAAAGTACAAATGCAATTGGTATTTGTAATGATATTAAGCCATACTAGCTGCTATAAGTTCTGCTGTAAATGCTCCTACTGTGAGCTGTTTATCTACTATATTCAGCTAAAAATAAGTATTGATTCCAGTTAATAAGATTTACATGGCAAAGCTGCATGTTAGGATTACAAACTAATGCTGTAATCATAAAATTTTCTTTGGCAGCTGAAAATCTGAAAAGCAAATTAGCAGCAATCTGAAGTCTTGTATCAAAATAAAAATAAACTGGCTTACACTGTAACTTCATAAAGACCTACCTTTATTTTTGATAAAAAACGATCTAAGTAATTCACGGCAAGAGAAAACGTCTCTGTGCGAAAGCCGAAGAATTGAATCAAACTAAGCAGATCTTTCACTTCAAAATCCCGCAACCTTGCCGTCATCCGGAGCCCATTATCATGAGCTGATTCAATTATTCGCAAGCCAGAGAGCTTTGGCTGATATCTTAATTCTTGCTCAAGCAATGCATTGAGCTGCAGCAGTAACTCAGGAGTCGCATTTGTTGCAAACACATCAATCATCTGAAATACAAAATTTAGATCAAGACTGCTTTCAAGCAAAACACTTAGAGAAGTTTATTTGCTTTTGCCATCTTTCAGCAAAGCTGCAGAGACACTGCTGCATGTCATTTTCTACATTCTTTAATCCCATGTGTGACATTTGCAGAATATAAAATGCACAAGCAAAAAGATTAACAAGGGAAAAATGAGCCAAGGAAGCAGAGATGGTCAGATGGCCAAGGCCTAAAAATGCAAATATAAAGTTATAATTGTAACAGAGCCATTGTATCCACAGTGAAACAAACTGTTCTCGTGTCTTGATCCACCTTTATATATATTTTTTAAAAATAATGAAACATTTAAACTAATTCTATAAAGGCCTATGATTTAAGCTTTTAAAACATTGTGAAGAGAGTACCACACCCAATAGGATGAATTCCAGGGTTTATTTAATTCTGCATCAGTTACAAAGCACTGCTGTGAATGTTATCCTGATTCCCTCACTATGAAGTCCCTTGCTTTCTCCCAGTGGCAAAAGATCAACTATAATTTATTAGAGGATCCTTAGCCTGTCGCTATCTAGTTATCTAGCGTCTTCTAGCAGCCTTGGACTTGACCCAGTTGCCAAGTGGCTAAATGAGCGCTTGATTGGGAGAGGCCGAGTTAAGTGCGACCAAGTTTAATTAAATGAATGTAACAAGTTAACGCCGTGATAACATTCTCTGCCACAGTTGGCTTTCTCTCACTCACTTTCCTTTCGGGACTCCTTATTTGGAAAATATTGATATTAATAGGAAACCTTTCACTTCTGATTCTCTCTCTCCCCCGCTCCCCTCTTCTTACTTTCTGTATTATTTCGCTGATAGACATAGGAATTATTATTACACTTCAGCAGATCCTATCGTTAGTAATTTCTATTAACGATGCCAACTTCAAAGACAGGTCCGGACATGTCCTCTCGACTCATATAGCACGCTGACAGCCACTCGCCAGTAGGAGTGAATTATTGTACGGTGAAATAAATAGCCCAGCTCCCGGAATTCCAGTCTCTTACCTTTTATCCCAGGAAAAATACAGGCGCTCGGAGAGTGTTCAGATAACCCGAGTTGAAGTTGAAACAAAGAATAAACTATGGACTTTAAAAATATAAATATATAAATACCTCTAGATTTTTTAAAAAATAAATAAATTAGCTTTTTATTTATTTTACAAAAGCACAGAACTGTAGTGACGCTTGCAGCTTGGGGGGGGGGGGGAAATCACACGAAGGTTCTCCACCTCTTTCAGCTCCGGAGAAAACTAGATTCTGCCAGCATTACTTCTACTTACTCCAAACTCCGCCCTGCTTTTATAGAAAAAAAATGAGATTTCTTCTGATTGGCTACTATCTTAAGAAGGTAGACCAATCAGGCCGCAACTTGCTCCAATCGGGAATGAAAAGCTATATAGAGCTGAGATATTGCGCGTCTATGGTGCGTTTTAGCTTCTTCTTTCGTCTGTAGTACCGCGATCAGTGGTAGATAAATAGGCTTTCCGTTGAGTTCGGGGGAAGACAAAGAGAAAGTTAACTTTTGTTTCAGCTTAAGGTAGATTTGTATGATATATGTTTTTCTAAAGGCAATTCTAGGAAAGAAAATCCCACTCCACAAGTCCTGTTTATCAATCGGAATACGACTGAGTGAATGGAAGAGTTACACAAACAGATCACAGGTGCTACGGTATCTATGCAGGCAAGACAATCGGACACATTGCTATGACAATCATTCCAACCTACTGTATGAAAGTAATAGAATTGCACTACATTACAGGCGTCATAAATATTAATACCTCGCAGTAACGGCCTACCCATCTGTAATAGAAATATATGCTTTCACAAGAAATGAGCGGGTGAGACTTAAAGAGTTTGCATCACATGGTTAAGATCTCAATTGAAAATGCATCACAAGTTGCTGCCTGGGGGAGGATAGATGATCAAATCACCGAAATAGTTTGTCAGCTGGCCAGATTTATGTATTACATTAAATCATGAAGTCGACTTTTTAGAAAAGTTTTGGTTTAGTATGGAATATAAATTCAGCAACATCATAGTTTGTTGACAACCCTATGATTGTTGGTTCAGTTTTTAAAAAAGTCAGAGGAGAACAATTATTTTGTACCAGCATGTCAATTATAACTTTTCTAGAACACCAGCCTGGGAAGGATATAAGCAATAGAGAGTACCTACACCCTCAGGAATAAGTCTGCAATCAGTAAAAATTTACTCCCAGATAAATGACATACACTGTATGCTTTGATGGATGACTTGATTATGTGCCATCAGATATTTTTTGACTCCTAAAGACCACATGGATAGGTTTTTCTCCATGACCATCTTCCCCAACATGGTCTCTCAGATCTTCCAACAGTGTAGTCATCACCATTGTAACTAAATCCATCCACTTTGCTAATGGTTGTCTTTCTCTTCCATCTTTCTTAGCATTAAAAACTTCTCTAGAGGGCTATGTTTTCACATAATGTGTCTGAGTTAGGATAATTTTTTTTAAAAAGTTAGGATAAAGTTAGGGTATTTTCAAAAGAAAGAGCAGTTTGGTCTATCTTAATGCACCAGGCTAACAAGCAGGAGACCATGAGTTCAAGTGACACTTTAGCCAGGAAAGTCAGTGGGGTGATCTTGGGCCAGTCACTCTTTCGTCTGAATTGAACCCTCCTCACAGGATTGTTGTGGGGAAAATAGGAGGAGGAAGGTGTGTTGGATATGTTTGCCACTTTGAGTTATTTGTGAAAATAATAAAGGTGGGAGATAAAAAAAATACATAAATAAATAAATTTGAGTCTGATCTAATGAAAACTCTGGATTGATCTTGTTCAATGATCCGTTGACTTGTTTTCTTGGCTGTCCATAATGTTCAAGAGTTTTATCCAAAATAAAAGTTGAAAAGCATCAATGCACTTCTTATGCTGCTTCCTCAAAATCCAATTTTTGCTTCCATAGATTGTCACAGGGAATACCATGTCTTGCACAGTTTTAATTTTTGTAGGTGTAGTCATATCACATTTGAATATATTTAACAAGGCCTTCAGGACTGCTCTATCAAGTTTTAATATATAGCATATTTCTTGACTTTGCTATCTTCATTGTCAGTTCTAAGGATAGTTGTTCTACTTGTGACCATTAGTTTGGTGTTCTTTATATTTCATTTTTGTTTCATTTTGCTCTTTGACTTTCATTACTAGAGCTTGCAGATCTGTTGCAGGATACTATCATCAGCATAGCACAGGCTATTGAAGTTTCTTCCTCCAATTCCTCCAACTTTAAAATGTGTTCCTCCAACACATCTCTCCCAATCCTGCTTCCTTTAATATATATTTGGCATATAGACTGAATAAATAAGGGGAGACCACAACCTTGTCACACTCCTTTGCCAACTTGGACCCAATCTGTTTATACGGTGGCTTATCTGCATATAAGATGAGAACAATACAGTATTTGAGAATTCCTATTTTTCAGAGCGAATTCCACAGCTTAACTCAATTGACATAATAAAAGGCCTTTCTATAATCAATGAAGCACATAGTGACTTCTGTTGATATTCTTTGGCTTTGTCAATTACTCACCATGCATCAGCAGTAATTTCTTATGTTCCTCAACTTTTTCTAAAGCCAGTTTGAACATCTGGCTTCTCTTTTTCCGTGTAAGATTGGAACTTCCTTCTGAGTTCAAAGATCTTTTGAAATATGTTCTTATTCTTGCATTTCTTTTCATCTTTCAGGTTTTTACAGGTGTTATAATGCTATTTCTTATCTCTTCTAACAGGCCTCTGAAATTCTTTGTTAAGTTCTTTCCTGGGAATTTTGTCTTTCTTGGCTTCTCTTCTCTTCTTGACAAAGGTTTGTTCTGATAACCAGTTTGCTTTCTTCTCTTTCTTCATCTTTGGCGGCCACTTTTCACACTTAACCTTAGTGACTTCTTTAAGTTCATTCCATAATTTACCTGATTATCAATGCAGCTCAGGACTTCATAGCAGTTTCTGATGTCCTCTTTGAAAATGGTGGCTATACATTCAAGATCATATCCTGAAAATTGACTTTCTTTTTGTTCTTTTGTTAGCTGAACATGGAACTTGCACATGAGCAGTTTCTGAACTTTTTCACAGTCAACACCTGGCCATGACTTTGATGCTATAACTGAGTTCCTATGTTTCTTTTTAGCAATAATATAGTCAATTTTATATACTTTCTAGTGATATCCATGTATAGAGGTATCATTTCCCGCCTGGACTATTGCAATGCTCTCTACATGGGGCTCCCCTTGAGGTGCACCCGGAGGCTCCAGCTAGTTCAGAATGCGGCTGTGCGGGGGATTTTGGGGGCCTCTAGATGCTCCCATGTAACACCTCTCCTGCGCGAGCTGCACTGGCTGCCGGTGGCCTTCCGGGAGCGCTTCAAGGTGTTAGTAACAACTTTTAAAGCGCTCCATGGCAATGGACCTAGGTATTTGCAAGACCGCCTCCTACCAAACACCTCCCTTCGACCAGTCCGCTCCCACAGAGAGGGCCTCCTTAGAGTGCCGTTGGCCAGACAATGCCGGCTGGTGACCCCCAGGGGGAGAGCCTTCTCTGTGGCAGCTCCTGCCCTCTGGAATGACCTACCCCCCGACCTACGTACAGTTGCGGACCTGCGCCTTTTTCGCCGAGCCCTGAAGGCCCATCTATTCCGTGCGGCTGGCCTGGCGTAGTTTGATTATGTTTCAGTGGGGGTTTTTGTATGGGTGTGTTTTTAGAACAGGCCTGTTTAATTCGATTTTAGAACAGAAACTATTTATTTATTATCGTGGTTTTTAGTATCGCCTGTTCACCGCCCTGAGTCCCGTAAGGGAGATAGGGCGGTATATAAATTTAATAAATAAATAATAAATAAATAAATTTTGTTTATTTGAGGACAGTGTTAGCTATGGACTGGCAGAAATTGCCAAGTCAGTCTCCAGACTCATTTCAGCTTTCCTAAGCCAAACAATTCGAGTAGGGTCCTGTTTAATGTTTCCAACTTTGGCATTCCACTCTCCTATCACAAAGAGCACATCTTGCTTGCATGTTTGATGATTTCAAAATGAACCTGATCATTGAGATGTGTTTGAATATTAGTAGCTCAGGTTGGTAGTTGGGCTGTTGATTTGATCTCTGAACCTGGCGATTTGGCTGCAAACGTTTTGTCTCCATTTGGGGGGACATGTTCAGTCCGCTTTGAATTGTCCGCTTTGAACTTGACCATAAAACCCATCAACCTCCTCTTCTTCTGCATTGGTAGTTGAATGATTGTCAAAAGATTGTTCACAAAGTCTGATACTATTCAGCAACTGGTTGCATATCATATGAAGAATATTGCAAAAGGTACATGCCTAGGTTTTGTTTGATCCTGGGAGACGTTCTTAAGCTTGTATTCAGCTAACTTTGAAGACAATGGTTTGTTAAGTTAGAGCTGAAGCATTTTGTATCTTGGATCAAGTTCTAGCTTAGGGATGAACAATATTTTTGATGGCTGGGAGCTACACTTAACTTTGGGGAAAGGACATGGGCCACAGTAGATGGATAGAGTTGTATCATGATTGGCAATTTTTACTCTCTGGTTAAAATTTTTTACACTATATAAACATTATTTTAGGGCTTACTCTGCATTACATATGTGTTTCCATTTCAAAATAGAAACTGCCAGTGATTTTTGACAATTGCTCTAAACAAAATGAGGAGGCTGGGTCAGTAAGGTCTTTAGGGGAAAAAGTCTAAACTGGAGAAGTAACTATCACATTGTAAATCCTACCTCTTTCATATGCACATCAAAAGAGGCAAGGTTTGCATTGTAATGCTCCATCTGCCATCTTACCAATTTTAAATCTGTCCCCTGGCAACTCTGGGCAGGGCCCTGTGCACTGCAAAAGATTTCAACAACTGAATGCCATCCTGGAAACATTAGATATTCTCTGTGTTTATAATCCCTAGTAATAAATAGAACATAAAGTGTGATGGACATGGTACTTGAGAGTAGTATTTCTTATCATATTAACAGAATAGCCATGTATTTACTGCCTACATAGAAATAGCATCCTCC